TGCAGAGAGGTCTATTAATACATAGTGAGTGAGAAAGGTGACTGAAGAAGAAATACTCAATGCATCATGGGAATCAGGGAGTTTTTAGGACATGCTGATAATAATGAATTACAGTAGTCCAGCCTAGAAGTAATAAATGCATGAACTAGTTTTTCAGTATCACTCTCAAACAGGATATTTCTAATTTTAGAGATATTGTGCAAATGGAAGAAAACAGTCTTACATATTTGTTTAATATGTGCATTGAAAAACGTATACTAGTTTTATACTAGTTTTTTATGTTGTATTTTTTTATTATTATTATTATTATTATTATAGGACACAATAAAAGTTGAATGTTGTACTGGTACTGACCAATGATTTTGGGAATTTAAAACTCAGCAGTCTTGAAAGTCTAAGTTTAGTCATAATAACTTTATGCTAATTACTTAATTAATTGTAACAAAAAAAGTTACCTTTATTTTATTTTATTTTTTGCTTGAATGCATCATCACTCAAATTACAGAAAGAGTTTTAGTTTTAAGTCAATATAATTTTGAGTATGAATATAAATCTCTGGGGTCACAAACCTGGAAAGTTACACTTTAAAAAATTGTGTAACATCTCTGTCCACAAACAATGGCTCAAATATTCAGAAAGAATAATTGAGTTTAAAAGTTTAGGTCAGGGCCTGAGCTCCAAACCTGGACCAAACTTCTCAGATGTGATAAAGCTCTGCCCTTGAACACATTTCAATTGTAATATTTTAAAATAGTGACGGCACCACCTAGTGGGAACAGATGAAATGTCACGTTTTAACCTTTGGGCTTCACTTTGGGCTACAGTTTCAAGGTGGCTGACTCAGGCAACCTCAAATTTGTCCAGGACAGGCTTAAGGAGTTGGTCTTTGGGTGCTTTGAAAACTGTCAGTTTTTGTCAAAAGCCGCAGTGAATTTTAATGTTTCCCCACAAGGCACCAAATTGATGAAGACATGTTTTCCAGTCTCTCCCAAACTTCACAGGCAGGATGAGAGTCTCACCCTGGTATGCCCATTGTCAGCAATAGTTAAAGCGCCACCTAGTGGCAACAGAAAATGTCAGGTTTTATTTTTCTACAGGGATTTCATCAGAGCAACATGATCTTTAGTGAGTGTGATCTTTGGTGATGTTAAATTGCAACGCTTTTGAGTTTATGTTAAAGGGCGCGGTCGTGGCAGCATGCCAACTTTCGAATATTCGCCACAAGACAGGATATTGTGTATCTCAGCTGTACATTGTCCAGTCTGGAGAAATCTACGTGGCAGTATTAGGTCACACTTGTGTTGCCACCTAGTGGACACAGAAATTTCATCCAATCTAGCTGAAATTTTAATTGGCGGTTCCAATTTATTGTTTTTTTTTAAATCATTAACAATGTATGCTGCATGATCATTCCAGCCTGAAAAATGAACAATTTAAAGAAATCATTAAAAGTCCATGATATTCACACCTTGACATGTGTGTGAGCTTCCAGCTACAAGTGTACACATTTGCAGATCTGATTCACTGGAGAAAACTTCAAAATAACACTCTTTGCTAAACTTTGATGGTTCGTATCTCAGTGTGGAACAGGTGACTGCTCAAAACTAATTTGAGCATATGAAAGGTTTCCATTTTACCCACCAGGCTGATCCATTCTGGGACAAAAATCACTTTCTAATTATTAAAAAGGATGCTTGAATTTGTTTGTTTTGTAGTTTCTATGTTTGATTTTTTTGTACTGCAAGACATTAAGACGGCTGTCGGGACAATCCTGCTGTCTGCTGGGCTGACCCGCCGAGCTAAGCAGGGGCAGGGGAGAAAATAAAATCTCCCACAGTAACAATGTAAAGATAGTCTTCCATGTTGGGAAAAAAAAAGTAGGACTTTCAAACATCAGGAACACCACCTTCTGGGTTTGGATCTTGTAGTCTTCCATCATGGGAATGACTGCAAACATCTACAAAGGTGGAAAATCCCTCCACACCAAACATGAACCGAGTCCCTGGATCTAGGAGGAGATTTGGATCCGTTTCATTTTCTGATATTTTCATGGGAACATGAAGACGATCTCTGCTGGTTTTTCTTTTATTCACTTTAATTTCATTGGTGATGACACAACAACGGCCGAGCTTCACTTCTGCTAATTTCATGCAAAACCAGTCACATGACCTCCTCAGTGAAGGAAGCACAAAGAGCCAAAGAAGCTGCTCGTATGGCTTCAGTTTATTGCACATCAGCAGTAACAAGCAGTGTTTTTGCATCTCAAGAAACACTGAAAAATGTAAAGCTTTTGCAGCAAATGTACTTCAATCAGCCTTTAAGTAAAAAACAAAACTCTGAAAACAAAAGCAGAGAAGCTCAAGTGAGTTAATTTCATACTGTCAAATTGTATTTCCATATTAAACAGCAGAATGTTTAATGGGGATCTATCCAGCACATTTCCAGCATTGTGTTTTTAATTCATAAACTCTCAGAGCAGCTTTGCATGAGTCACAGTTCAAAATACTCTCTTTTTTTGATACCGGGTTTTCAGTTCATCCTCTGTCTGAAATGAGGCGTTTTAGCCTCTCCGACTTTGAGCCGTCTTTCTTTCTGATTAGCTGGGTATTGCTTCTGTGCCCAACAGGACCATATCAGGATATCATCTCTATGACATCATACAGATCAAAGAGTACAAAAAAAAGGGTTTATTTTCCTGATGAATTTGGTTTACCAACTTTTTTTCCTCTTTCATTTGCAAAACTCAAAACCTAAAGGCTCAGATCGATTCTCCTAACGATCTACCTCAGATGCCTCTGAACATCATGGTTCATAACGGCCTCGGCTCTCACCTTTGAGCTTCGACACCGTGGGCACTTCAGATGAAAACTGCTCAGTTGTGGCTGCAGACCCAGCTCTCCTCACTGGGATGATCCTCCTAGAGAAATTCAGCACAGTGTAAAACAGAAGCTGTTGTATGCTCCTGCAAGGCACAACGAAATCGGTCAAGAAAATCCAGAGATGACGATCTCACCTCAGCTTACGTGGTAACACCTCGTATATGTGACAGAACATAAAAAGCCCTCTTTGAAGGAATAGTTCAACAGTTTTCTTTTTTTT